ATAATGTCCTTGAGAAGGATCCTGGGGGCTTTTCCAGGGTGTAAGATGCCAATTAAAACCTGTGATTTTGTTCCTAACAAGCTTCATACCTGATATTAATGTATCACCTAGGTAATCAAAACTCTGTCATAAAATATTATCAGAGTCATTACGACCATTGCCATCTATCACAACAAGATTTCCGGGATCCAAAAGCTGTGCCACTGGATTCTGTGCAGAACTTGATGTGTTGGAAGACCTGTAGTGTTCTTATGGTCGACCGGGACATGAATTCCAGGGTTGCTCAACTTAAGTACACCTGATGAACCAGTGAGGGGTGTGTTTCTTTTAGTCTGCACTATATATGGAGAGTCTGACTCTAATTAGAAGATAATTGTATTAATTTGGTAAAGCTTTGTTTGTAACTGTCTCTCACCTTAAAAAAATTTCACAATTAGCAGCATTGGCAATACTTGATTAGAAAGTAGAAACCCTACAGTATATAGTTAAGTTGAGTAGCTGGGAAGACAATTAGTAAGCGTTCAATACTAAAGTTGAATAGTGGGGAGACAAATTACTAGAGTTTCAAGTTCAGATAAATAGGATGAATTTCTCATAAGGGATCCCCTTTCACTGTAGATTGGAGTAGAATTCGTTTTGACACAGTATCAATTATCAATGTAAACACGTTACTGATGCATTATCGACAATATCGATGCAAGTCATATCAAATTTAGATGCGTAATTGAATGGAAACAAACATCACTCTCTCCAGTGTGAAATGGAGAAAATTCTCCTCAATCAAAAGTGGGCTTACTTCAAATTTAGTTCAAGAATGATGGTGTCTTGCCTGACAATTGACAATTAGGAGCGTTCCTCTAGTAGAAAAATCTAAATCATTTGTGGTCATCCACTCACTTGGTTAGTCTTCCAGAATCAAATACCAAATCAACTCAAAGGAAGCTGCAATTTTCTGAATTGTATACTTGTTTTAATTCTTCCTATCTTTTTCTCTCTCACTTTTTTTGTCTCCCTCAAGTTAATACTTAAGTGAGTTGCCAAATGGGGGAAAAAAGAGAGTAGAAGAGATGAACCCCACATTTGACATTAATGCCCAAGAGAAGTACCCAATAAGAGCATCTCCTATAATTTGACACACATTTCTTATTTTTTTTCAATTCTAACATCATGTCATCTATATCGCAATAGGCCATTGTAGGTAAATTTTCAAATAACCAAGTTGCTCTCTATTTTCCAAAGAAGACAAGAAAACAACTTACCATCTATTTGGTGCTGCTTCTTCCAAACATTAGAAAAAACAGAGCTACACTCAGGAGGAGCCCAGGAGATGACACAATACTGCCTACTATGATTCTTACTTTCTTCACATTCAATGAGACTATAAAATATAACCCAAGTGGTCTAACCCCACGGGGCGGAAATTGGGTTTAGCAGGTTTTGCACTGATTGTTGTAGTCTTAAAATAAATAGTTTAGCGAGTGCAAACCTCGACCCCAAAAAACAAAACAAAAAAACAGAAAACAAAAAAATTTCTCATGTATAGCCACGCGGCTATACGGCCATAGTACCACTGCACGGCGATTCTTGTTAAGTAAATTATAGGAGTATCGCCGCACGGCTATACTAATTATTGAAAAAAAAAACTAAAAAAGGACCCCAGTAAAGCCGCGCGGCGATACTCCTTTTATATATTATATCATATATACTATATATTAGGTTCTTTTTGCCTACAAATTGACCATTAAACTTCTTAATCACTCTTATACTTTCAATTAAATCTACTAGGCTAGGTTATGATATTTGCACTAAAAAACCCCCTTTTTTTTCTCTTTCTATTCCTCTTTTGTTCAACTTGAGCTTAAGTTTTGTAATTTTCCCCCCCTTTTTAATGTCTGAGTAGGGTACTTTAATATTGGGATTTATGAACTTTTTTTTTGTATTTCTTCTCTATATTGGAATATAAATTAGAGATATTTAGTCATATATCCATTCTTAGCACTAATATTATAAATAAACCCTATATCATTTAATTCCCATAAACAAACCCAAAAAATAATAGATGGCCCTATTGAATTTAATTTTGATTATTAAATTACTTTGATGCCATATTGAGTGTTTTGGGCTTTTTTTATGAGATTTTGGAGTTGGGTTTGTTTTAAGAAATTAATAGCAGTTTTGTAATTTAAAAGAAGTTAAAGTCTTTTTGTTATGTTGTAAATGGGCTTTGTCACATCCCTAGATCGGCTCAGTCGTAGTACGATATTGTCTTCTTTGGGCTCTCCTCTCTGCCCTCATGGTTTTGTTTCTGGGAGCTCATGAGCAACTTCTCAGTGGGTCACCCATCCTGGCATTGCTCTAGCCCCAACTTGCTTAATTTCGAAGTTTCCATGACTCTAAAGCTAGTGAACCTCCCAAAAGGCCTTGTGCTGGATAGAGGTGGGCATGTACATATAAGGCACATCACCCCGTCTCCGTTGGTCGATATGGGATATTACAATCCACCACCCTTAAGGGCCTGAGGTCCTGGTCGGCACACTCGCACCACACAGCATAGTGGCTCTGATATCAAATTGTCACATCCCTGGACCAGCTTCATTGTAGCACGATATTGTCTGCTTTGGGCCCCCCTTTCTACCCTCACGATTTTGTTTCTAGGAGTTCACGAGCAACTTCCTAGTGGGTCATCCATCCTAGGATTACTCTAGCCCCAACTAACTTAACTTCGGAGTTCCCATGATTCTGAAGTCGATGAGCTCCCAAAAGGCCTCGTGCTAGATGGAAGTGGGCATGTACATATAAAACACATCACCCTCTCTCTGTTGGTCGATGTGGGATATTACACTTTGGATGTGTTTAATTTCATATATGGTTTTTTTTATAATTTGAGTTCCTAGATATAATAGTGAATCTCCATTTATTAACTTTTGAGTCTTTAATAGAGTAGATGATGAGATTAATATTCAACCATTTTATAATATGAAATTAAGGACAATCATGATTGTAATGAATGAATTGTTAATCAATATGAAATGATATTATGAAGTAAGCTAAATCGAGTAGTTAGTATCGTATTAACTTATTAACCCGTTAGCGCTTGAGCCTCCATATTCATATTATTTTATAAAATTTTGTGAAGGGCCCCTTCTAATGCAAATTCTTGGCTGCACCACTGCCTGTAGCAACTTGGTAATGTGTGTGAAACACCCCTCCTTTTGTCGTTTAGACTATCGGTTCGCTTGTATTAATAAAATAAAATAAAAGATAAAATTATAAATAAAACAAAACACATATTAAAGCCTAACTGTTAACAATGGATCCAACATAAGATCCAGCCCAAGCCCATGAATAAAGCCACTGAAAACGGTTGGACCTAATTTTAAACACGTTAATGCGTTATAGGTTTTTTCCCGGCAAACCGTTAGTCTCTCCTCCTTCAGCTTTATACGAGCGGCATAGTCTCTTTCGTCATTTTCTGTACCTAATAGAAGTGTAGGCAAGCTTTTGATCTTGGCTCTCCTGTGCTTGCATCTTACCTTTTTTATTGCCGAGTAAGCCGTCTCAAATGGTTGGTCATTCAGTTCATATGTGAAAGCAACAAATTGCACGCCATGTGTTCGATGTATTGCCTTACCGAATTCAATGCCCTTTTACTATTGCAGTTTTAACTTCGGAGCGTCGACTTGAAGGGTTATTTGAGGTTTTCTTTTCCCAGGTCACAATGGCCCGTAGACATGTAGACAGGTTAATACATGGTGCAAGGCATCTAATGGCTAAGCGAAAGGGAGCTGTCCATTTGAATGGGTTGCTACATCATTGCTCAGAGGAGTCTCATGGAGAGCCTATGCCCCGAGAATGGTATCAAAAGGAATTCCCCAAGTTAACAAAACTAACCCAATTGTTAAAAAATGTCGATTTGGTTGATGGAAGGCTTGTTAACATCAGTGATGGTTCGATTATCATGGATGACCGTATTGAACACAGAATGCTTACTTTCAAGTCACTTGCCAGGGAATTTATTGGTTCTCCATTAGTTCAGCAAACGTTAAAGAATGATGTCGTGGCGTTGTCAGGTGGAAAAATCTGTAATCAATTTGTGTGTTTCAGTAAACCAAATGAAAGAGAGCCCATGGTTGTAAAAACACTCTCCGTAGTAAGTGGCTTTCTGAACATCACTGCTCAACAAAGACAGTCAGTACGTGTTACATTATCTCCACAGATTACACAGCACCGCATATGGACTGGGACGCTTAAGGAGGTACTCAATGGATTGAAATCCGAGTTGGAATATTTAGATCATCGGTGCCCAAGCAAAGGAACGAAGATGGGACAGCAGATAGTTGCTAGCTGTCTAAAGTTCTTGGCTGACACATCCACATCCATTTCATATGAACATGATTGCTCTTCATGGACGCGCCTATCGCCTGCAAAAGTTACAGACTCTTCTGGTTTGCAAAAATGGGAAGATGTTCTTGAGATGTTCAACGACCTCATTGATTGTTTGAAAAATGAAAGGGAGTTACTTCTTTACGTAGCGAAGCTTGAGGTCTTGAAAGAGGGGCTGTCTCAGATCAAGGATGTGTTGACTGATAGAAATATAGGACACAAGGAAGTTCGGCATCAAGAAAGCCTAGTGCAGAAGAAGCTGACAAAGACATTGGGTCATTCGTCCAAGTGCCTGTTCACACTTCTGTTATATTACCTCTTTGGGCATGTTAGAGATATTGAAGTGGACGTACGTGGCGGTATTTATAGCAGCGGTAGTGAGAACGATTTCTGCTTGTGCATGGGAAGGATTGTGACTTCAGATGAGGAGGAGATGGTTTGGAGTGGGGTGAGGCAGTTGGACAGGGCTCTTGGACTTTTCAAGTTTGTATGGGAAACAGCAGGGATGAAAGGAGCTTTACAACTGCAAGGGCATATATGGTGTGTAGGGGCTGAAGGCAGAACACTTGCATACAGAGGAAACACATTTTTTGTCCATGGGATTCATGTTTGACAAACACTTATCTTAGAATATGAGTTCAAATTTCAAAACCTTTTTTTTTCTTTCTGAAATCAGGACCAGTGTGGAGAACTAGCAAGGATTGGAGAAACAGATTTTTGGGCGTCACTTGACCACAGATTGTTGATTGCTCAAATGTGTAGAATTGGCCATCTTAAATGTCAAAATGATTTATCAATTGGGGTTTTTTTAGAAACGTTTATGTTTGTCAATAGACAGAAGACAGAGAACATAAACCTTTCTCAGCAAATTGAAATTCTCAGTGCATGCTCTGTTCTTCCATGGCTTTCAAACCTTCTCTGCCACAGTGAAATGGATCGATAGAGATAGTTCAGGTCGTTCCATTTGTTTGATGAAGCATTCGTTCTAGGGATTCTGTATATACATAACAAAATCACTAGAATGATTCTTAGAAATTCATCACTGCTAAACGCAATGGGTTCAGCATAATAACTTCTTAGTCTTGCTTCCTGGTCCTTTATTTTCTCTACATAATACTCCAAGTTTACCTGGGTTCTACAGAGAAAATCTCGTAGATACCTCTTTTTGTGGTCTTCCATGGCATTTAAGTGCTTTCCATGGTGAAGTGGGCCTATAGAGACTACCTGAGGTGTGTAGGCTTTGTCATTTCCATGCCGTAATCACTCAGGAACTCTGTAGATGCACCTTAAAGGGGGACAAGGGAGACAAACTATCCAATTCCTCGCCATCGAAAGTACAAATAGATCGAATGGGTTTTCTATGTCATTTGCAGCTTCATCAATTCCTTCCATTTTCCTCATCACGCGCGGTGATTCCAATATTTCATAATGAACATTGAAATGAGATGCTACAAGCAAACTTATGAAAAGAAACAGAAATACCAAAAAGACAAATCATTGTAGATGGTTTAGAAAATCTAAACATTGCAATTATACTCCTTTGCCCAACTCCTAGGAGCAAACGTACACAAAGACCTTATTACTTCCAACTTTTCCAACAGAATTTCCTATGAATTGCTCCAAGTGAAATCCGTATGTAAAATCGGTAGTTGGATTTTCATCCTTTAATAAGATTATTTAACTACTAACCAAAAAACTCTTATTACTTGAGCAAGTAAAATACTATTCCAGGTTTCTCTTATTATATGCGCTTATTATTGGTATACTCTATAAATACCATAATCTGAATTTCTCTGTTTTAATTACTTTAATTTATTACTTATGTTTTAATTATTGTTTACTTAGTGAATTATTAGTATTTAAGAGAAGGCCCTCCATCGATTAAGCACCACGTGTCTATAATAAGTAAAGCCGTCCGGCTATACTTTAAAAAAAATCGTAGTATAGCCGACCGGCTATACTATTTAATACATTATATTTAAAAGGTATAGCCGCGCGGCTATACTATTTAATAAAATAAAAAACAAAAGAAAAAGAAAAATGACCCTCCTATTTGCATTAGTTTGTACTTTATAGATATTAATTTGCTAGTTTCAAGATATCCAAAGTAGATATTAGACTTTCACTATATAATATTTCAATTTTTTTTTTGTTATAACATGTGTTGTTCTTATTCATATGTGAGAATTATTTGTATAATACGTGAATTTTTGTGTCTTACTGATTTTTTTTTAAATACGTGTATTAAATGTTACAAATACGTACATATATGTACAACACGACTATTGTACGTTTGCTTTATAAAAAAAATGTGAGATGTGTATAGAACACGAATGTATTATCAAACAATATATAGTATATATATGTAAAAGCCTATAGCTTCTCGCCTATACTATTTATTAAAGACAATTTAAAAATTACAACAACAAAAAAACCAGTACAGCCACAATGCTATACTATTTTAAAAAAAAAAATAGAAAAAACATCAAGTACTGCACAGCACAAAGGCCCAGTGTAAAATAGTATAGCCGTACAGCTATACGTTTTTAAGAAGAATTTAAAAAGCTGCGTATAATCGACCGGCTATACTATTTTTTAATATAAAAAAAGGACCACATCCATTAGGCTCCACGTGTCAACAGAAGTCTATTTTTAAAAAAAATTAAAAAACACGGAGTATAGCCGGGCGGCTGTACTATTTTTTTTATTTTAAAAAGAAGACCGTCCATCGATTAGGCGCCACATGTCAATAATAAGTACAGCCGCTCGGTGCTACTATTTTTTGACTTTTAAAAAAAAAAAAATCGTACTATAGCCACCCAGCTATACTATTTAAATACATTATAAAATAAAGATTATTGCTCCATCCTCCATGCACTTGCATGCCCTCTTACAAAAGTGTGAAGTAGATTATGTGTGCTTCAAGTCATTGACTAGAGCTGAAACATGGTTATAAGATCTTTTGTTTTCTGGGAATTTTCAGAACCAAGGAAAATCAAGTAAAATTAATAAAGCATAATGGAAAGGGAAAAGATCTAGAGGATGCATTGTAGGATTGCACGTGCCAATAATTATACCCTCTAAATATATAGGGACATATTTTTTTTGTTTTCATGACATGTCGTCCTAAAATATTTGTTCCTAGTGGGCTCTCCACCCCCTCTCGATTGAAAACCACAGGTGTCAACAGACCAGAAGTCTATTTTTAAAAAAAATTAAAAAACATGGAGTATAGCCAGGTGGCTGTACTTTTTTTTTAATTTTAAAAAAGAAGATAGTCCATCGATTAGGCGCCACGTGTCAATAATAAGTACAGCCGCTCGGCGCTACTATTTTTTTTTAAAAAAATCGTACTATAGCTACCCGGCTATACTATTTAAATGCATTATATTTAAAAGGTATAGCCGCACGGCTATATGTTGGACATTTTGAAACTAGCAAATTAATATCAATAGCCAGTCGTATCCTATGTTGTCCACATCACTCATGTTTTACCAGAGTTAAAGCATCCACAATGAGCTCCCTAAACCATCTCCTTAGACAAATTTTAGGGAGAAATTAGAAAAGTACAACTCCAACAATGCTCCCTATCCACCAACTAAAATAGGGAGACCTCTAGGAGTTCCTAAATCTAAGGAGAGGGAAAAGACTCCTAGTGACTCCCTATAATTTAATGTTGCTTTGTTTTATGCATATTTTAAACTTTTAATTAAATCAAATTATTTTTTTATAATATTTTGTATACAGATGGACCAATTATATTAAATTAAAAAATAATTAAAGTATTTATGACTCTCTAAATTAAGGAGTATGATTGGAGTTCAAATTTTATAAAGAACTCTTAAAATAGCTTTTGTGTGTTTTTAGATAAATTTTCACTAAAAAATTTGAAGATTCTTTATTTGGGTTTCTTTCAAGACGAAAACCATATCCACAACTGGCAGACATCTTTGACTGTTCATCACAATTGAGAGACAATGAAGAAGACATAAGGGAGAGGCTGCCAAATACTTATCACCTTAGCCACCACCAACACCACAAGACCAATATGTGTAGGGCAGGAGGCTTTCCAATTTTAATATATATATATATATATATGGAATGAAAAAAATAAAATAAAAATCCATCTATTATCATATATATTATAAAATAAAGATTATTGCTCCATCCTCCATGCACTTGCATGCCCTGTTACAAAGTGTGAAGTAGATTTTGTGTGCTTCAAGTCATTGACTAGAGCTGAAACATGGTTAGCTGGATTTATAAGATCTTTTGTTTTCTGGGAATTTTCAGAACCAAGGAAAATCAAGTAAAATTAATAAAGCATAATGGAAAGGGAAAAGATCTAGAGGATGCATTGTAGGATTGCACATGCCAATAATTGTACCCTCTAAATATATAGGGACATATTTTTTTTGTTTTCATGACATGTCGTCCTAAAATATTTGTTCCTAGCGGGCTCTCCACCCCCTCTTGATTGAAAACCTATTGTGTAAATCTTCAATTCTGAACGATGCACCTAAAACTCAAGTGTCCCAGGCCAATTATTGCTATCTTACCACTTGTTGCAATACACGTCCACCCATTCTCAGGGAAAGATACCCATCAATATTATCTCAAATTTAACCACTTTAGTCCATTATGATTAACTATGTATTTTATGGACCAATCCAATTGTGAGGTTTTACACCCAATTAGATCGACCAATACAGAGGTCACATGTGGACTGAAAAGCGCCATCGGTAGGGGAGTGTTCGGTAACCTTTACTGCCGAGCTCAACACAAGACCCCTTACCAGGAACTTATCTGCTAGGACACGTGGAGCCACCACAAGTAATATCAACAGTCCCACATCGAAGTTTTAACATAACATGTACACTCCCCAAGACTTATAAAAGTGGGCACAAGTCCCAAAAATGGGGTAACTTGGACTTTCGGCAATTCAGTCATTACTCTGTCCAGATTACTATACACTCCGTACTTATTTTTACTTAAGCATTGAAGAGCTTTCGGCCGGTACCACACCGGTGCCCAAGGGCATACCGAGCGTTCTCTATCCTGCAGATTGATCGCTCTACCGAAGCTCAGAAAGAGTTGAAGGTCAAGACATCACTAAGTTGAGCCCAAAAGTGTTGAACCGCATCAAAAATATATATAGATTGAAAAAATAAAATAAAAATCAATCTATTATCATATATATTATAAAATAAATATTGGATAAATTACTCAAATGGTCCTCAAACTTATACTCGATTTACATTTTGGTCACTCAATTAAATTATTCGTTCAAATGGTCCATCAACTCTATATTATTTGCTTCATTGGTCCTACCGTTACATTCTGTCAATATTTCTGTTAAATGTGAGGGTAAATTGGTCATTATTTACCCTAAAATTAGGTTAAATCTAACAAAAAATTAGACAGGAATTCGAGGCGGGTCATGTCAAAAAGCTAATCATAGGGGCGAAATTGACGAATAAATTTAATACAAGGGCTAAATTAGCTGAAAGATTAATTTATGATGTAGATTTCAACAAGTGTGATAATTCATGGGGGTATTCGGTAATTTACTCCTTTTTTTTTTTCCCTTGATCTTCCATATTCAAGTAATGGAAATGTGTTCCACATTTTCCATTTCGTTGATTACAGAAAAGGAAGAGCAAACATGAGTTAGACTTCTCACCAACTTGAGGAACAAAAATATGACAAATTGATATATTTAATACAAGCTCAAACTGTGCACAAATTAATATACGCAATGGAAGCCCAAGATTATTTCTGAAGCACATAACTTCTGCAAAATCTACAAAGTGGTGGGAGGCAGACCAACAAAAAAAAGTAGCGAAGGCTTATAACTCTGGTAAAACAAGAGTGATAATGTTACGTCGTACTGAAGATTTTTGGGTTTCCTTAATTGGTTAAGTTTATATAGATTTTTGGGTTTCTTTGATTGGTTAAGTTTATATACCTTCATTTGAAGATTCTTTATTTGGGTTTCTTTCAAGATGAAAACCATATCCACAACCACAACCACAAGTGGCAGACAATCTTTGGCTGTTCATCACAATTGGGCCACAATGAAGAAGACAGAAATTGGAGTAATGTATGTTACCAGCAACCCACGAGAAACTGACATCTGCAAGCTTTTGTAATATAAGGAGGATGGGGAGGCTGCGCAATACTTATCACCTTAGCCACCACCTACACCACAAGACCAATATGTTGTAGGCCAGGAGGCTTTCCAATTTTAGTATATATATTTATAGGGATATGATTTCTCCACTCCCCTTTTCTCTATTTAT